CCCCCAAGCTGTTTTTCCCGAGATCCTCAGTAAATGCTCCAGATGTCCCAGGTTCAACCCGGTTGCCCTTGGTACCGATGCTGGCTGCTGCTTCTGGAATGCACCTGTGGGTCACTGCTGAGAGGATCCTAAGTTTGCTTGAGGCGTTTCAGAGGGGGTTCCAGTGAAGAACAGTGAGCAGAAGCCAGGGAGCTGTATGCTTCAGCCACCAAGTGGGGAAATGAGCCCACCAATGTCTTCCAGCTTGACGTCTCAGAGACCTCGGAAGCATGCGCTGTAATGAAATCCAGTGCCTGGGTTTTCAGCTGCCCTGCAGTGTGCAGGTCAGCCAGGACGAGAGTGTGGGCAGCATTCTCCACACAGAGGTCCCTGCACAAGGCATCCTCGCACATGACCTTCAAACGCGCCAGGCCGTACTTGTCAGCAGCTGGCAGCACAGCATCTGCCATGCTGTGGAGGGCTGGTGCCTTCCCGGTGTAAATGAAGCCCATCATTGCCTCGAAGACTTGGGGCTCCAGATCATGGATCTCAAGGCGGTTTGTTCTACTCTCCTCCGAGTCACGTTGAAGCATGGCACTGAAAACCGCAGAGCGAGCTGCTAAGATGGCTTGTGAGCCCGGAACTCCTGGCCAGCTACCACCAGGCAGCAGTCTGTGAAGAGGGACTTCTCCCTCAGCTCTCCTAGCTCATCTGCCAACGTGCACCTCGGCATCTGGACCTCTGGCTTCGTGCCCTCGCCAGGGATGTCGAAGGAGTCTTGGACCACAGTCACCTGGCATCGGAGGCTCAGCTCATTGTCTTCAAGGAGCCAAGGCTCCCAGGACAGGAGGAAATCTCGAAGGATGAACTTTTTGAATCCCCAGTGTTGATTTTGCAGGAACCTCAAGAATCTTGGGCTCTTCATGCCTTGGGTTTGCTCTCCTTCGGAATTGATGATCCAGAAGTAGAATTTTGCCCATACGGGGCTCTTTGGGCAGCTGAGCAATGCTAGGTAAACCGACAAGTATCTCTCGCTTTCTTCATCGACCCCGTTCAGGTGTAATTTCAGACACCATCGCTCTTTGTCACTGGCCGCCGGTGAGAAGGTTGGGCTTTTAACGGCTTCGATGCTTTCCCGGAGGAAAGAAGGGAAGTTGCTTATGGTCCAACTGTAGCAGAATTCCTGGAAGCTGATTTCTGTGTAGCCCCAGCTCTGGCACTGGGCTGCCATGTCCCCGGACCTCTCTGCTTGTGGTCCTTTGAAGGTTAACCTGCATCCAAAATGAAAAAGAAGGACATTTGTCTTCCAGCTGGGGGATCACAATTACAGATATCAATAACAACAACAACACACACACACAAACACACAGACACACGAAATAAATAAATAAATAAATAAATATATAAATAAATATATAAATAAAATACAGGAGCTAGACACTGATATTGGGGTATGAACTTCAAGCTGAAAACAGGAGAGACAAAGCCACCAAGCCGCTATCTCTTGCATACCCCAGTGCCCATGAGCTCTCCCCAAGCATCAGAAGGCTTCCTCTCCTCAGCTCCTGGAGATAATCCTGAGACTGAGACTGAGACTCTTACTGACTACACAAGACCTGGCTCCTATCTTTTCTACAACTCTAGTTCTAAGATCAAGCCCAAGATCTCGCTTACCCTTTTAGACTCCTTCCTTCTCGGGTGTAGCCCTGCTTGTACTTGAATATAGAGAGAACCATGTGTGTTTGTCTCCCCAGTTTACAGATGAAAAGTTGTCTGCTTGGCTTCCATGTATCACTAGTACTGCTGATTTGCCATTTGGATGGCTCTAGGATATCTTAAACTATTTACAAGGCTTTAATAAATCTGAAACTATGTATCACCACAGATAGATTTCAGACTTCTATTTTCTGCTTTCCTCTTTCTCCCCACCACTATGGGGCTAGAGACTCTGCCATCTCCGAAATTTTCTCTCCGGATGCCAATATTTTTTTCTAGAGAAGACATTTTAAGATACTTGGGAGGGTTACATCCCTCCATTTTCTTGTCTAGCTTGAATCTTAGGTCATACACTCAGCTGTTGAATGGTTTCCAGCATGTTATAAATCAAATTTGTTGTACGGAGCTTCTCTATAGCAGAAATATATATATATGTATGTATTATGTATGTATGTATGTATGTATGTATATATCCAACCTCTCCTGTATGAAGGAAAGGGATTTATGAGAAGGACTCTGGGATACAAGTCTAAAATGCAATACTTACTCAGAAAGGTGGCATAGACCTACCTTGTCTGCTGGTCTTCAGTATTAGCAGGAATTCAGAAAATTAGTAGCTAATGCCAGTGAAGGAACAGACTTGATTCAAGGCGAAGTCCAGTGGGCAAAGAGGAAGACCTTTCTCATGTGTATGTGCCTTTATTGGCTCCTGCCAGAGGGTGTGGCCTCACTAGATTTCAAGGAGAGGACTGAAGGTGTGTTGGTCTTCTGGCCTCAAGGTCAGGGTTAGGGTGGGTCCATCCCTCTGTCTCCAATGTTCCTGCTGCAAGTTGAGCTACCTAGTTCAAGTGGAGCGGAATATTTCCCACTGCAGTGCTCTGAATGTCAAGATGTTTTTTTACAACACAAGAAGTCAGGTCAGGAACCAGGATTGTCTTGTGCTTATTGTGCTAAGAGAAGAAGAGATTATCCGAAATTCTTATCGTTCCGGTCACGCTGACAGAGTAGATTCCCAGTTTCTCAATTACTGGCCAATTACTTGGCTTTTTCTCGTTTTCCTCTAATTTATTGAACTCGTTTTATCTTTAAAATTGTTACACCGACATGATTTTACATCCCAATCCCAGTTCCCTTTCAATCTGGCGGGAATGCCCACATTCTGCCAATCCCACTCCCAATTCACTCATCAGGATGACAAACTCCCATGTGGGGAATCAGCATTGTAAGTGACATCACTTGAGACCAGATAATGAGCTTCCCTACTGTACCTAGGCTTAGCAAGGGATCTCTCCACAGGAGATGGACTCTGTTTCTGCTGGTTGTGGTCCCCAAAACTGCCCAAGCCACCCGACTGTCACCCACAGTCCCTGAGGCCGAGTTCAGTCTCATGAAGCTCTCCAGCTGTCAGCCTTTAGGCACTGAGCTCCCACTCGAATCTTGCTTGGGTCTGCTGTTTCTGTGGGTTTCCCCACCAAGGTCTTTACCTCCTTGCTCACTTTCTCACTCCTCCTCCTCCTGTAAGACTGGGTGACTGCAGGAGATTGGCCAGTGCTTAGCTGTGCGTCCATCTCTTCATCAGATTCCATCAGGTACTGGATGAAGATTCGACATTGACAATGAAGCTGATGGCATCAAGCTGATGACAAGGCAAGGGTAGTTAACACACCCCCTCTCCCCTGAGGCTTAGGTTCTGAGCAGGGCTCTCCATGTTGGATTCACTGGAACTTTCCTAGAGCCTGGGCTCGGTTTTCCCTGAAACAACTCCCTCTATCAAGGTATCCCTTCCCTTGCTCAGTTTCCTTTCCCCCAAGTTAACCTTCCCAGAACCCTCCTGGTCTACACTCAGTTTCCCCTTTCCCCTGTGCCCTCCCATAACACCCAGGAGCCTAATTCACTCAGGAGATCTTGTCCATTTCCACATTCTGGACAGGGCCTGTCCAAGTAGCGCTGTCTTAATGCCCTCCTACTTTACTGGGGTCTCTTGACTTTGTGGAGGACAAGCTGCTTGCTTGACCTTGGCTTTATGTGGAATGTCCTCTTGTGAGTGAATTCACGAGATACAGAGCTAAGCAGAGAATTCCAAGACAAGGACCTCAGAGGGCCACTAGGCCAATAAGGAAGCGATCAAGATCCAAGATCCTGAGCCATCAGAGAAATTCAAATCCAAAGTCCTCTCAGATATCATCTTCCACTTATGGTGGAGAGGTTTTGGAGTAAGGGGAGCACTGCTCCAGGGCTGGTGGGAGCACAAACAAACTTGTACTGCCACTGTGGAAGTCTGGATAAGCATTTCTCAGAAAAAGTGGAAGTGGATCCACCTCAAGGCATAGCAGGAACACTCTCGGGCATATACCCACAGGATGCACAGACATGCCAGAGGGCAAGGGCATTTGCCAAAGCCAGAAGCCGAAAACGACCTAGTTGCCCCTCGGGTGAAGAACGGATTGGGAAAATGTGGTACATGTAAACGATGGAGTAAGCCTCAGTGGGAAACTTTAAGTGCAACGGAAGGGGAATGGGGACTATGGGGCCTTGGGTGGCCCTGAGGATGCTGCCCAAACCGCCACTGCCTACCAGAGTAGGATGGACTAACATGGCCTTCTTCTAACAGAAACAGCACGGGATCCACATACTGATTGTACAATTTTTATTCACAAAGTCTATTGCCTTTGGTGAACAGAGATGCAAGCACCCACACAGATAGAAAGAGGGCTTCCATCCTCTGGGTCTCCAGGTGGAGAACATTGAGAAGTCACCCATGTATACTGAGAGCTGAACTCATGAACTGTTCCTCTGAAGGAGCAACAATTGTTTGGCCCACTGACTCAACACTCTAGTCCCATCACCTGAATTTAAATGAGAACAAAAACAAACCAACCAACAAACAAAATGTCTTCTTGCTCGTCCAGGTCTGTTGTAAGCAAACATTCACGTGTGCTTCCTCCTTTTCTCTAAATCCTTGATCATATGTTCTGTCCAGTGTAGGCCTCACAGGTGTATTCCCAGGACACACATTGGCATGGGTGTGGGTTCAGGAACTCAACAAAAGCCCAGTATCCAAATGATGGAGAAAAAGAAAGGCGGTACAGCCAGTGTGTAGAATATGCCAGAATACTGTGCTTCCCCCTTACCCAACCTGCTATTCGAATCACGGAGGGCCGGTATTGACGGCCTGAGCCCCCAAGCTGTCTTTCCCGAGATCCTCAGTAAATGCTCCAGATGTCCCAGGGTCAACCCGGTTGCCCTTGGTACCGACGCTGGCTGCTGCTTCTGGAATGCACCTGTGGGTCACTGCTGAGAGGATCCTAAGTTTGCTTGAGGCGTTTCGGAGGGGGTTCCAGTGAAGAACAGTGAGCAGAAGCCAGGGAGCTGTATGCTTCAGCCACCAAGTGGGGAAATGAGCCCACCAATGTCTTCCAGCTTGACGTCTCAGAGACCTCGGAAGCATGCGCTGTAATGAAATCCAGTGCCTGGGTTTTCAGCTGCCCTGCAGTGTGCAGGTCAGCCAGGACGAGAGTGTGGGCAGCATTCTCCACACAGAGGTCCCTGCACAAGGCATCCTCGCACATGACCTTCAAACGCGCCAGGCCGTACTTGTCAGCAGCTGGCAGCACAGCATCTGCCATGCTGTGGAGGGCTGGTGCCTTCCCGGTGTAAATGAAGCCCATCATTGCCTCGAAGACTTGGGGCCCCAGATCATGGATCTCAAGGCGGTTTGTTCTACTCTCCTCCGAGTCACATTGAAGCATGGCTCTGAAAACTGCAGAGCGAGCTGCTAAGATGGCCTTGTGAGCCCGGAACTCCTGGCCAGCTACCACCAGGCAGCAGTCTGTGAAGAGGGACTTCTCCCACAGCTCTCCTAGCTCTTCTGCCAAGGTGCACCTCGGCATCTGGACCTCTGGCTTCGTGCCCTCGCCAGGGATGTCGAAGGAGTCTTGGACCACAGTCACCTGGCATCGGAGGCTCAGCTCATTGTCTTCAAGGAGCCAAGGCTCCCAGGACAGGAGGAAATCTCGAAGGATGAACTTTTTGAATCCCCAGTGTTGATTTTGCAGGAACCTCAAGAATTTTGGGCTCTTCATGCCTTGGCTTTGCTCTCCTTCGGAATTGATGATCCAGAAGTGGAATTTTGCCCATATGGGGCTCTTTGGGCAGCTGAGCAATGCTAGGTAAACCGACAAGTATCCCTCGCTTTCTTCATCGACCCCGTTCAGGTGTAATTTCAGACACCATCGCTCTTTGTCACTGGCCGCAGGTGAGAAGGTTGGGCTTTTTACGGCTTCGATGCTTTCCCGGAGGAAAGAAGGGAAGTTGCTTATGGTCCAACTGTAGCAGAATTCCTGGAAGCTGATTTCTGTGTAGCCCCAGCTCTGGCACTGGGCTGCCATGTCCCCGGACCTCTCTGCTTGTGGTCCTTTGAAGGTTAACCTGCATCAAAAATGAAAAAGAAGGACATTTGTCTTCCAGCTGGGGCATCACAATTACAGATATCAATAACAACAACACACACACACACAAGCACACACAAACACACAGACAGACACACGAAATAAGTAAATAAATAAATAAATAAATAAGTAAATAAATAAATAAAATGCAGGAGCTAGACACTGATATTGGGGTATGAACTTCAAGCTGAAAACAGGAGAGACAAAGCCACCAAGCCGCTATCTCTTGCATACCCCAGTGCCCATGAGCTCTCCCCAAGCATCAGAAGGCTTCCTCTCCTCAGCTCCTGGAGATAATCCTGAGACTGAGACAGAGACTCTTACTGACTACACAAGACCTGGCTCCTATCTTTTCTACATCTCTAGTTCTAAGATCAAGCCCAAGATATTAATTACCCTTTTAGACTCCTTCGGTCTAACCATGTGTGTTTGTCTCCCCAGTGCTCAGAAGAAAAGTTGTCTGCTTGGCTTCCATGTATCACTAGTACTGCTGATTTGCCATTTGGATGGCTCTAGGATATCTTAAACTATTTACAAGGCTTTAATAAATCTGAAACTATGTATCACCACAGATAGATTTCAGACTTCTATTTTCTGCTTTCCTCTTTCTCCCCACCACTATGGGGCTAGAGACTCTGCCGTCTCCGAAATTTTCTCTCCGGATGCCAATATTTTTTTCTAGAGAAGACATTTTAAGATACTTGGGAGGGTTACATCCCTCCATTTTCTTGTCTAGCTTGAATCTTAAGTCATACACTCAGCTGTTGAATGGTTTCCAGCATTTTATAAATCAAATTTGTTGTATGGAGCTTCACTAGAGAAGAAATATATATATATATATATATATATATATATATATATATATATATATATCTCCAACCTCTGCCTGTATGAAGGAAAGGGATTCATGAGAAGGCTCTGGGATACAAGTCTAAAATACAGTACTTACTTAGTAAGGTGGGATAGACCTACCTTGTCTGCTGGTCTTCAGTATTAGCAGGAATTCAGAAAATAAGTAGCTAATGCCAGTGAAGGAACAGACTTGCTTCAAGGCAAGGCCTGTGGGCAAAGAGGAAGACCTTTCTCTGTGTATGTGCATTTATTGGCTCATCCTTGAGGGTGTGGCCTCACTAAAGATCAAGGAGAGGACTAAGGTGTGTTGGTCTTCTGGCCTCAAGGTCAGGGTTAGGGTGGGTCCATCCCTCTGTCTCAAATGTTCCTGCTGCAAGTTGAGCTACCTAATTCAACTGGAGCAGAATATTTCCCACTGCAGTGCTCTGAATGTCAAGATGTTAGTTTACAACACAAGAAGTCAGGTCAGGAACCAGGATTGTCTTGTGCTTATTGTGCTAAGAGAAGAAAAGAGGATCCTAAATTCTTCTCGCTCCAGTCATGCTGACAGAGTAGATTCCCTGTTTCTCAATTACTGGCCAATTACTTGGCTTTTTCTCGTTTTCCTCTAATTTATTGCTCTTGTTTTATCTTTAAAATTTTTACACCGACATGATTTTACATCCCAATCCCAGTTCCCTTTCAATCTGGCGGGAATGCCCACATTCTGCCAACCCCACTCCCAATTCACTCCTCAGGATGACAAACTCCCACATGGGGAATCAGCATAGTAAGTGACATCACTTGAGACCAGATAATGAGCTTCCCTACTGTACCTAGGCTTAGCAAGGGATCTCTCCACAGGAGATGGACTCTGTTTCTGCTGGTTGTGGTCCCCACAACTGCCCAAGCCACCCGAATGTCAGCCACAGTCCCTGAGGCCGAGTTCAGTCTCATGAATCTCTCCAGCTGTCAGCCTTTAGGCACTGAGCTCCTACTCGAATCTTGCTTGGGTCTGCTGTTTCTGTGGGTTTCCCCACCAAGGTCTTTACCTCCTTGCTCACTTTCTCACTCCTCCTCCTTCTGTAAGACTGGGTGACTGCAGGAGATTGGCCAGTGCTCAGCTGTGCATCTATCTCTACATCAGATTCCATCAAGTACTGGATGAAGATTCGACAGTGACAATGAACCAGAAAGCACATGAGGAAGCGCCACACTTTGTTTCGTGTAGGGGTTTCCTTTCCAGGCTGGTCCCACTGCCAAAACACCCCTAAATACCACAAAGTGACACTCTGTTAGATATAAAGCTGTAGGCCAGTTAATGTTGGTTATCAGCTAGATCTGTCTTAAATAATAACATATTTATATCAATCTTTGTATTTCCATGTAGTCTCATTTTACTGGAAAGGGAGGCTCGTGTTTTCTCTCTATCCTCTACTTTGGATCTCCTCCCCTTTGCTACCTCTTTCCTCCTTGTCTCCTAGTCCCACCTATCTGTCTTTCCTATTGTCCAACAGTGCTCTATTCATTTAAATGTAGGAGAAACATATTTGCAGAATGACATCTCCCATTATCTCCTCTTTTCTGTCTAAAATAAAAAGAAGGGTTTTAACCTTAGCATAGCAAAGTACATCATACAACATTTGTCACATAAGAATCACAGTTAACAATATTTTGTACATTAACATTTAGCAAGATTTATATATTTTATCATCTATCCTATCTTTGTTAATCTACAGTCCTATATGTAAATTAACTCTTTTCTCAAATGAAGGAATCTATAACCATAAATATCTCTCTCCAAGTCCATCAAAGATCACAGAACGATAATGCATAAACTCTAGAAATGACAGAGTCAACTTGCTTCCTGGTTAGTCACCTGAATTTCTTCTGTAATGTTCTATCTTCAGCCTATCGGCCACAGTGTGTCTGGCAGACTCCTCAGCAAAGCAGAAAACTTTATACAGTCCACCTGTATTGGCAGTTTGTCTGTCATTTTTCTCTTTGTTCTGCAATGTGTCTGGCAGAATCTTCCATGAAGCAGGAACCCTGAGGCACTGTCCACCTTCTATCAACAGTCACTTTCCTGTGGGTCCTGCATGTCTGTTTATACAGGATAAATATGAACAGTTCAGACAGGAGCAGTATTTTGCCCAAATGGCAAAACTTGCCATTTGGGAGTAAACACCATAATGATTTACTTTGATGTCCATCTGTAGGTCTTTGAAAGTTTTGAAGAATTCCTATTTATCTTAGATACATCTCTGTATATCTAGAAATCCTAACTCACATAAGTTTTGACAATTATAGTTTACTGAAAGACTTTCAGTTGCAGAGCAATGATGTAGGAAATGGACAAAAGAGTAGTTCTTGCAAACAGAATATAGAAAATCACAAGGAAAGGATGTTGCCATGGGTGGAAAGATCAGGATGTATGAAAACCCAATGCACTAAGAGCCCAAGATTCTTTAGATTCATTCAAAATCAAAGCAGAGAACTAAAAAAAAAATAAAAATAAAAATAAAAATATCATTCTTTGTTATTTCCACTTGTTCCAGGAGCCTCGGCTTCTCCCAAAAAATGAGCACACTCTCCTCTGTAATGTGGCCTTGATCAAACATTCCTTCACTCTCACTGAATAGAGAACGATGACAGAGATCCAGGTTCCAATATGCATGATGGCAGATGAGCTAGGAGAGATGTGGGACAATTCCCTCTTCACTGACATCTGCCTAATGGTAGCTGGCCAGGAATTCCATGATGACAACACCATTATAGCAACTCTGAGGAGAGCAGAACAAATTGTGTTGAGATCAATGATCAGGAATTGCAAGGTTTCAAGGAAATGATGGGATTCATTTACACCAGAAAGGCACCAAACCTCCACAGCATGGCAGACACTGTGCTGGCAGCTGCTGACAAGTATGGCCTGGAGCCTTTAAAGATCATGTGTGTGGATAGCCTGTGCAGGGACCTCTCCATGGAGAATTCTGCCAACACTCTCATCCTGGCTAACATGCTCAATGCATGGCAGCTGAAAACCCAGGCATTGGATTTCGTTACACCTCATGTTTCAGAGGTCTCTGAAACTTCATGTTGGAAGACAATGGTGGGCTCAGATTTCCATTTGGTGGCTAAAGCATACAGATCCCTGGCTTCTACTCACTGCTCTTTACTGGAGCCCTATTCCAAATGCCTGAGGCAATTTTCGGACTCTCTCAGCTCTGACCTACAGGTATATTCAAGAAGCATCAGCTACAATTGTTACCAAGGACACCTTGATAGAATGGGGGGCTTATTTAGCATTTACAGAGAATCTAGAAAGATACCCTGGGGACTCAGGACTTTAATACCACTGTAAATGAGTTGAATGACATTTAGGGATAGGGGGAGTACTATATTTTTATCATAAAATACTCAGTTGGTGTACTCTTTTGCTTTCTGTCCAATTATTTAAATAGTGGGATTTTGCTTAGTTCTTGACCCCATGCTGCTCATCACAACAGGGTTCTTGGGGGAACCAATGTGGACTAAACTAAGGAGAACATATGATCAAGGATTTAGAGAAAAGGAGGACACAAACATAAATTTGCTTACAAGAGACTCACACAAGAATGAACACATTTTGATTCCTCCAAACTCAGTGTGTTGGAATTGGAGGGCTGACTCATTTTTCCGAAGCAATTGTTATTACTGTAGAGAACCAGTTTAAGAGTTCAGATCCCAGTGTATGTGGGTGACTTATCTATTATCACTAACTGGAGATCCAGAGGATCAAAACCTCTTATTATCTTTGTGGGTACATTCATCTCTGTTAAGCAAAGATAATATGAAGTGAAGAAAAAATTTACAGTCAATTTGGTGATTCTGTGGTGTTTCTGTTTGAATAAAAACATTGTAGTCCATTAACCTCTGCTCAGATGTGGTTGTTTGGGCAGCTCAGTCCTCAGGCCTACCACAGTCCCAAAAGCCCTCACCCCTCTTTCTTTGCACTTATGCTTGCAGAGCAGATGACATAACTGTCATGCTTTCGTGGAAAATGAGATGAGGATTCCAAAAGGGAAAAAGACAGCTGCATCTGGCAGAGTCTTTTGATAGTCTTGTCTTTGCAAAAGACTTTGTTGGTTATGAAAAAGGAGAATGATGTAGATTAACTGAGAATCCTTACTTTTTCCACCTGTACTATTGGTCTGTCTTTACATATTGGGAAAATAATTCTTCCTACCACACAATGGTCAAAATTGTATTATTTCTCTGGAGATAGATTCAATGGTTGTGTCTTTGCTCTTATCACTTGTCCTCCTCTGTTGATTTTTGTTTGTCCTTGACAACTCTTTCCTAATTAGACTGGAGTCATATAGGTACAGGTTAATCCCAACCAAGCTCCCCATTGCATGAGGTTTCAAAGATTGAATATAACATATCCATGTATATGTTGTAGCCAGGATTTGGCTACCCCACTTTGCAGAAAGAAATTGTTTTCCTTTTGCTATATTGGTAAGTTGCTTTATGGGAGATCAAGATTATTTATTTCTAAAATGTTCAGTTAAACCAAAATCAGAGATTTGTGTAAATTGTTTTCTTTTAAAAAGCAAAAAGAAATTATATCATTATACCCTTGTGACAGACAATTCACTTCCTACAATCTACAACTCCAGAGAACCTATTATACATGGAGGTCTTTAAGAGAGACATAAATGTATCATCCATGAAGGACAAAGGAACAAATTCTTCTGAGTCATTTGGGAGCTTTGGGAAAAGGTGATAGAGGTAGGAGAAAGTACTGGAGGTGGGGAGGGGAAAAAGAAATTGAGGGTTCAGAGAAGATGAGGTGGAGAGGAACAGTGTAAGAGACCCAGGAAAGGGGTACTTAATAGAGATACCCTTTATGAACATAAATAGAAGTATGGCACTTAGCAAATGTTCAGGAATCCACAAGGAAAAACAAAACTAAGAAACTACATAACAGTAGAGAGCCTACCTTAAAAGCCCTTCCTGTAATGATATTGATGCCTACCTTAAATGCCATCCTAGAGCCTTCTTCCAGTAGCTGATGAAAGTAGAAGCAGAGAAGTACTGAAGTGAACTGTGGAATCCAGTTGTAGGGAGGGAGGAATGATGAGCAAAGGGATCAAGGCCATTCTGGGGAAACACACAGAAACAGTTGATTTTAGCAAGTCAGAGCTCATGAATCCCAGTCTGACAGATGGGGCACCTGCATAAGATTAAACCAGGACCTCTGAACATGGGTGCCATTTGGAGGGCTGTAGCACTCTATGTAACCTCTTGCAGTGTCACCAGTATTTCCCTCCAGTGCATGAATGGACTTTGAGAGCCTACTCCCTATGTAGGGCTACTCTCTCAACCTATATTCTCAGAAGAAGAGCCTGCTCCAAATGTTGTGACAAATTTTGATGACCTTCCATGGAAGATCTCAGCCTCATTGAGAAGTAGATGGAGGGGTAGGCTCAGCAAAGGTGGGGGCAGTGGGAGGACAGAAGGGAGGAAAAGGAAAATGGAATTGCTATGTAAAATAATATTTTTTTAAATTAAATAAAAGTTTAATTTTAAAAAGAAGAACTTTCTGAGACATCCCTTTAGGGGGACTGAGCAAGAACAGGAGAAACTTGCTGGGATGTTTTCTTATGTGGACCTTGCAAAGCTGTAGCAGAGAAAAGAAGAACTTTTCAACAGAGCAGGGTGGGAGGTTGTTTTTAGAAGACTGTACCTGAAGAAGTGATGAGCCAAGGAAAAAAATCAGTTGGCTCTACTGGGATGCTCCGTTGAAGGGACAGAGCAGAACTCAGCTTCAACGGCTCTCAGGGAGAGGTCCAGGATTGCTATATCCTTCAGGGAGATCATACCCTACCTCACCCCATATTCAGGTGGTCTGAAAATTCAGAACACATTACTTTTCAGGGCTGAGCTGACCTGGGTTGCCTGGATTCCCTAAAATTAGGTCACTTTTCCTATCATGGCTGAGCAGAGCTCTTCTTGGTAGCCTGAATTCCCCATAAGTCAGGACACTTTTACAGCTCCAGAGCTGAAATGCTCACATTTTGATGCCAATACCTGGTACTCACATTGGCTTACAAGTAGAACCTTCAGAAATGTAGGGTAGCGAACAGAGATTAATGCTGAGACATAGATTTGAACCAATAGAAACTCTGTCTTACTAGGCTGACAATTGTACTGGATGTTCAGAAACCCAGTATAACATGGAACATTTCTGGGGTGAGCAGTTAATCACAGATACCATATGCTGGGTTC